TTTCCTTCTCTCCTTCCTTCCTTCTCTAACTTTCCTTCCTTCCCCCTTTTTCTTTCCCTCCCTCTTTCTCTCCTTTCTTCCTTCTCTACCTCTTCCTTCCTTCCTTCTCTCTTTGCTTCCATGCTTCCTTCTCCCTTTCCTTCTTTCTTTCCCACCCTCTTTCTTTTCTTTTCTTTCTTTCTTTTCTCCCCTTCCCTCCCTCTTTCTTTCCTTTTTTTCTGTATTGTCATTTAGCTTTTCGTCATTTAACTTTTTGGGGCTTTTAAAGTCCGTTCTGCTGTGTTTTTTGGTGTTTTTCTGAGTGAAGGACATACACTGGGTTGTTAGGTGTCTTGTGTCCAAATTTGGTGGCAATTCGTCCAGTGGTTTTTGAGTTCTGTTAACCCCACAAACGAACATTACATACGGCGCAGTCTGGCTTCAGACCGGGACATGGTACTGAGACAGCCTTGGTCGCCTTAGTGGATGATCTGCGCCGGGAGCTCGACAGGGGGAGTGTGTCCCTGTTGGTGCTGCTGGACCTCTCTGCGGCCTTCGATACCGTCGACCACGGTATCCTTCTGGGACACCTCGCGGGGATGGGCCTTGGAGGAACTGTCCTGCAGTGGCTCCGGTCATTCCTCGAGGGTCGATCTCAGAAGGTGTTATTGGGAGACACCTGTTCTACCTCACAACCATTGTCTTGTGGGGTTCCTCAGGGTTCGATCTTGTCTCCCATGTTGTTTAACATCTACATGAAGCCGTTGGGTGAGATCATCCGGAGTTTCGGGGTACGGTGTCATCTGTACGCAGATGATGTCCAACTCTGTCACTCCTTCCCACCTGCTACTAAGGAGGCTGTCAAAGTCCTGAACCGGTGCTTGGCCACTGTAACGGTCTGGATGAGGGCGAACAAATTGAAACTGAATCCAGGCAAGACAGAGGTACTCCTGGTCAGTCGCAAGGCCGAACAGGGTATAGGGTTACAGCCTGTGTTGGACGGGGTCACACTCCCCCTGAAGATGCAGGTTCGCAGCTTGGGAGTCCTCCTGGACTCATCGCTGAGCCTGGAACCCCAGGTTTCGGCGGTGACCAGGGGAGCATTTGCACAATTAAAACTTGTGCGCCAGCTGCACCCGTACCTTGGGAAGTCTGACTTGGCCACGGTAGTCCACGCTCTGGTTACATCCCGTATAGATTACTGCAACGCTCTCTACGTGGGGTTGCCTTTGAAGACTGCTCGGAAGCTTCAAATGGTCCAACGATCGGCAGCCAGGTTGCTAACAGGAGCGGCACTCAGGGAGCACACCACTCCTCTGTTGCGCCAGCTCCACTGGCAGCCAATTTGCTACCGGGCACAATTCAAAGTGCTTGCTTTAGCCTTTAAAGCCCTAAACGGTTCTGGCCCGACCTATCTGTCCGAACGCATCACCTCCTATGAACCAGTTAGGACGTTAAGATCGTCTGGGGAGGCCCTGCTCTTGATCCCGCCAGCCTCACAAGCATGGCTGGCGGGGACAAGAGACAGGGCCTTCTCAGTGGTGGCCCCTCGGCTGTGGAACGCCCTTCCCGCAGACGTTAGATCGGCTCCCTCCCTGCTGGTGTTGAGGAGAAGAGTGAAGACCTGGCTCTTTGAACAGGCGTTCAATTAAGCAGTGCAATCAATTGACTGAGTTTGGAACTGGAATAATGGACGAGGAGATCGGATTATGACTTTATTGATGAGACGTGATGGATTAGTTAGTTGGATATATTGATGTTATGTTGATTTACTGATGTATTGTTGTATTGTTTTAACTGCTTTAGTGATTGTGTAAATGTTAATGCTAATGCTATGCACTTTGTATATTGTCCTGTTGTAAACCGCACTGAGTCGCCTATGGGCTGAGATAGTGCGGTATACAAATAAAGTAAATAAATAAATAAATAAATAAATTATTTATATAGATAGAGAATTCTCATTGGTGTTAACATATACTGCACTAGCTTCACTTATTCCTCTCTCATCTGGTCACCCAACAATCCTAACAATATGGTTTCTGGCTTGATGCTGAATCAATGTTACATAAAAGAGAGCTGGCTTGCCAAATTCCTGTGATTTCAGCAGCTGGGAGGAATGCATGGATTCAAGCCTACGTTTCTGATTCTTCAAGTGCGTTAAAAATCTAGGCTGCGTTCTATAATTGAATGCATTCACAGTTGCACATATTCATTGCTCTACCAGTCCAAATCGAACAATTTTATTGATTAGCCAGTTGGCTATCAAGTTCCTTAAACTCTCTCTGAATCAGTCATCATGGCACATGCATTTCCTTTCTCCCATGAATAGAAGATGCACTTGACTGGTCAACCTGGACATGCACTTTGACAAATGGTGGAGCAGAACTGGCCCATTCCTTGTAGCCTCCTTGATAGATGCTTTACTCAACATTATTAAGCATCTCTGGAGCTGAAACAGACATTTATCAAGCAGCTGGAGGCTGACATCCACATCTGGCAATGCCACATCTGTCTGGTCAATTTGCAAGCTGGTCAGGGAAGTCTCAAAATACAACCAGACAGAAATGTAAACCATCACAAAGTCATTATCAGCCTTTAGTTATCCAAATGAATGTTTTAGTGGGTCTGATCAAGGTATATTTGTAGATTTTGGATATTGTTGTATTTTGCTGCATGCATTTTGGAATTTGTTGTGTTTTGCTACCCTTAATATGTTAACCACACAGTCATACTATACAATACTGTAGGTTTGGGAGATGATTCCGTTGCAATAGAACTTGGACTGATTTTTGATGTGAGACAGTTGAACCCCTTGCCTGCCAAATTTTTTCCCAAACCCATCAGGGTAAAAGAGCAGCTTTGGTTGTGGTTGTGGTCTGTGTGTGAATGCATACCCTCCAACATTTCACAGGTGAAAACTAGGATGTGCCGGATTGCATCTACACAGTAGAATTAATGCAGTTTAATACAACTTTGACTTCCATAATGGTTCAACACTATAGAATCCTGAGAGTTTTACAAAGTTTTTAGCCACCTCTGCCAAAGAGTGGTCACCAAACTCCAACTCCCGTTTTTCCATAACATTGAGCCATGGCAGTTAAAGGGGAGTTCAGCATTTTACAGATGCATTAATCCTACAGTGCAGACGTATTCCTAGTCCCGTTGTTGTTAACACCCCCACAAACACAGGATGCCTCCAGGCAAAAACAGCCAGGCTACCTTCATGCAGATGCCCTCACTGATTGACTTTGGAAACATTTCATAGCTACTCTCTGCTATTCAAGCTTGCTAATTCTTTAAACAATCCCTGGACACTCCACTTACCTCACTGCCGACAGACCTCTGAAGATGCCAACCACAGATGCAGGTGAAATGTTAGGAGAGAATGCTGATGGAACATGGCTATAAAGTCCAAAAAACACACAGCAACCCTGTGGTTATTACTGTTACATTTATTTCTAACCCACTTTTATCTCTTTATCCATTCAGACCACTACGTCATATTGGTTCTATGCTGACCATTATTTTAATAACAAATTATGAAATAGTTTGAGTACCATATTTTTTTTTATTCTAAGATGCCATTGATGGTAAGATGCACACTCATTTTGGTATTACCACCAACAAAAATACAATTAGCATCTCTTATTATTATTACTATTAAACTTTATTTGTACCCCGCTAGCATCTCCCGAAGGACTCGATGCGGCTTACAAAGGCCAAGGCCTCAACAACACAATAGCATAACAATACAATTCAAAGCAAATCAAAAACATTAAAGCAATAACAGTAAAAACAACAAAACAATACAGCATAACACAATAAAAACAGGGCCAGAACAAGTAATGGGTACAGATTAAAAGTGCTGGATGTGACAGGTGATCTATCGGATTTCAAGGAAGTGCAGTGTGCCGAGAATCTTAAAGTTCTGATAAAGTGCTTACTGGAGTTTTCCTATTCTGGAAAGGCACATCATAACAGCCAAGTCTTCAAATTCTTCCTAAAAACTGCCAGTGTGGGGGCCTGTCTAATGTCTTTGGGGAGGGTGTTCCAAAGTCGGGGGGCCACCACAGAGAAGGCCCTGTCCCTCGTCCCCACCAAACGCGCCTGTGATGCAGGTGGGATCGCAAGTAGGGCCTCTCCGGATGAACGAAGAGAGTGCGTGGGTTCATAAACGGAGATGCGGTCACGCAGGTAGGCAGGTCCCAAATCGTTTAGGGCTTTGTAGGCAAGCACCTGTACCTTGAATTGGGCTCGGTAGATAAAAACGGCAGCCAGTGGAGCTCCTTAAACAGGAGGGTTGGCCTCTCTCTGTAAAGAGCCCCAGTTAACATCCTGGCCGCGGCCCATTGGACCAGTTGGAATTTCCGAGCCGTTTTCAAGGGCAGCCCTACGTAGAGTGCATTACAGTAGTCCAGTCTAGAGGTGACCAAGGCATGGACCACCCCGGCCAGATCAGCCTTTGCGAGGTACGGTCGCAGTTGGCGTACAAGTCTCAATTGCACATCCCGGACACCGCCAACGCCTGAGCCTCAAGCGTAAATGATGAATCCAAGAGGACTCCCAAGCTGCGAACCTGTGACTTCAGGGGGAGTGTAACCCCGTCCAGCACAGGTTGCCACCCTATACCCCGATCCAGTTTACGATCGACCAGGGGGACCTCTGTCTTGTCGGGATTGATCTTCAGCTTGTTCGTCCTCATCCAAATAGCCACAGTGGCCAGTTACTCGTCCAGCACTCGAGAAGCCTCCTTGGAGTTAGGTGGAAAGGAGTAGTAGAATTGTGTGTCATCTGCATAGAGATGGTAGATGGTAGATCTCTTCTGGAAATGCCCCAAAAGTGTCATTTTCCTTAGAGCAGGTAAGGGCCAACTTGGGCCCTACTGACCATTAGGAATTATGGGAGTTGAAGTCCAAAATACCTGGAGGGCCCAAGTTGCAGGTCACCAGCTGGTGGGACGGAGATACTGGGGTTGTTTTCTCTGTGACTCAATTTCTCCATTATTTCTCCTCCTTCTGCAGAACACTCTGGAGCAGTGCAACGTTTGTGCCAAGCCCATCATGGAGCGGATCCTGAAAGCCACGGGGAAGGCCTATCATCCCCACTGCTTCACCTGCGTCGTCTGCCAACGCAGCCTGGATGGTGTCCCTTTCACCGTCGATGCCGGTGGCAACATCCACTGCATTGAGGACTTCCACAGGTATGGGGCAATTGGGGGGGGGGTCCTTCTTCGCTTACGAAGGGCTCAAGAAGGAGGGGAAATGGAACAAGGATGTTGGGTGCAAGGTTCTGGAAGCTGTAGTCCAAAAAGTAAGTTCAATGGAGTTCCCACACTCAGAATGAGTTTGCCACCAAGAAACAATTCCACATTTCTAGGTTGACCTTTTACAGATTTTTGCTTATTCATAGATTTCATCAAAAATGCTCACTTTAGGAATCTATAGATCTCCCAGTGCAACTGTATGGTCAATGCTCCATCTATATAAATAAAAATGTAATGTTCGTTTGTTGGATTAACAGAACTCAAAAACCACTGGATGAATTGACACCAAATTTGGACACAAGACACCTAACAACCCAATGTATGTCCTTCACTCAAAAATATTGATTTTGTCATTTGGGAGTTGTAGTTGCTGGGATTTATAGTTCGCCTACAATCAAAGAGCATTCTGAACCCTACCGACGATGGACTTGAACCAAACTTGGCACACAGTTCTCCCATGACCAACAGAAAATACTGGAAGGGTTTGGTGGGTCCTTTGGTTTTGGAGTTGTAGTTCACCTACATCCAGAGATCACTGTGGACTCAAACAATCATGGATCTGGACCAAACTCTACACGAATACTCAATGTGCCCAAATGTGAACACTGGTAGAGTTTGGGGAAAATAGAATCTTGACATTCGGGAGTTTATTTTATTTATTTATTTATTTATTTACTTTGCTTATATACCGCTGTTCTCAGCCCGAGGGCGACTCACAGTGGTGTACAACATAGAAAGAACACAATTCAAATTCAAGACATAATATAAAATCCACATCCAGCATTAAACAAGAACATCATCATCAAAAACATCATCATTACTACGAAAGCCATTCCGCGTCGTCTCATCGTCCAAACCACAATCCAGTATCATTTTCCGTTGTTCCATTCCTGTCGTCATTACCAATCATTGCACTTCTTGTTCGAACGCCTTCTTAAACAACCAAGTCTTTAATTTCCTGCGGAATATCATTAGGGAAGGAGCCAGTCTGATGTCCACGGGAAGGGTGTTCCACAGCCGAGGAGCCACCACCGAGAAGGCCCTATCTCTCGTCCCCGCCAGCCGTGCCTGTGAAGCAGGCGGGATCGAGAGCAGGGCCTCCCCGGAAGATCTCAAAGTCCTGGTGGGCTCGTAGGTCGAGATGCGGTCGGATAGGTATCTTGGGCCGGAACCGTTTAGGGCTTTGATTGTTGGTGAACTATAATCAAAGAGCATTCTGAACCCCACCAACGATGGAATTGAACCAAACTTGGCACAGTTCTCCCATGACCAACAGAAAATACTGGAAGGGTTTGGTGGGCAGTGTTCTTTGGTTTTGGAGTTGTAGTTCACCTACATCCAGAGATCACTGTGGACTCAAACAAGGATGGATCTGGACCAAACTCGGCACGAATACTCTAAATGTGCCCAAATGTGAACACTGGTAGAGTTTGGGGAAAATAGAACCTTGACATTTGGGAGTTGTAGTTGCTGGGATTTGTAGTTCACCTACAATCACAGAGCATTCTGAACCCCACCAATGACAGAATTGGGCCAAACCCCCCACACAGAACCCCCATATGGGCCAGGGGACAGCTAGTCTATATAAATAAAAATGTAATGTTCGTTTGTGGGATTAACATAACTCAAAAACCACTGGACAAATTGACACCAAATTTGGACACAATACACCTATCAGGCCAACAAGTGACCATCACTCATAAAAACACTGAAAAACACACCAGAAGAGACTTAAAAACAAAAATTACATTACAACACATGTGCTAAACCACTCACACATATATATATGCAAGCATACACATAGATATACATATACACAAACATATACACACACAAAATACATATACACAGACTGGGCCACAGCAAAGCGTGGCAGGGGCAGCTAGTAGAATTATAATGGAGGACTTAGAGATTGTGTTGTCGAAGGATTTCATGGCTGGAATCACTGGGTTGCTGGCCATACAGTCCCAAAAACTCACAGCAACCCAGTGATTCTGGCCATGAAAGCATTCGACAACACACTGCTCTAGATTGTTTTCTGGTCCTTCAAAGTTAGATTTGGGATCTCCTGGCAGCAGGACCAATGTTGGGAAGCTGGAGTCCCATTTCCTATGGTTCTTCCATCACTGGATCCTTCTCATCCTAACTCTTCGGGCTGTTGCCTTGATCCAAATGAGGTCATGGCAGAAGCAAGGAGAAGGTTGACCTCCCTGTTTCTGGATGACTTGGAGGAGAGGGTTTCTGACTGATGGCGTTTCTTCTTGCATATCTAGGAAGTTTGCCCCACGCTGCTCCGTCTGCAAGGAGCCCATCATGCCAGCCCAGGGCCAGGAGGAGACGGTCCGGATCGTGGCCCTGGACCGGGACTTCCATGTGCAATGCTACCGCTGTGAGGTGAGTCCCATAGAGAAGATCTGTCAGATTTACTTTCTATTATGAGAGCTACCCTAAAGCAGTGGTTGGACTACAAGTTTAGAGGCCAAGGTTTGAATCCCCAATTGAAACCTGTTGGGTGACCTTGGGGACATCTGGAGTCTGTTGGGAGTATTTGGATTGTGGTCCCATCTGCAATGCAATGTAATGCAAATCTGCATTTCCCAAGGCTCTTTGGAGAGGCACCATGATCTTTAATTATTATTATTATTATTATTATTATTATTATTATTATTTCACGCATTTCTACTCCACCCTTCTCAACCCTGGAGGGGGGACTCAGGGTGGCTTACAAAAGGCACAATTCGATGCCAACATAAACATAAACAATGGATAAAACATGTATATAGCAATTATAACAATTACACAGTCACTTTATACAACAAGATCAATAAAAATCTATAAAACCAGTCAGTACTCAGCGTTCACCATCTCAGAGTCCATAAATTCATTCCATATTGTCTAGTCATCATTGTCCTTGTCTAACTGCCAGATTGCCCGAAAGCCTGGTCCCACAACCATGTTTTTAATTTCCTTCTGAAGGAGAGGAGGGATGTCGATGACCTAATTTCCCCGGGGAGTGAATTCCACAGGTGAGGGGCCACTGCTGAGAAGGCCCTGCTTCTCGTCGCCACTAATCTCACTTGTGATAGAGGTGGGGTCGAGAGCAGGGCCTCCCCAGAAGATCTCAGACTCTGAGGTGGGACGTAGAAGGAGATGCGTTCGGACAGATACGCTGGGCCAGAGCCGTATAGGGTTTTGTAGGTCAAAACCAGCACTTTGAATTGTGCTCGGAACTGGATCGGCAGCCAGTGGAGCTGACACAACAGAGGGGTGGTATGCTCCCTGTATGATGCTCCGGTGAGTAATCTGGCTGCCGCCTGCTGGACTAATTGAAGTTTCCGAACAGTCTTCAAAGGCAACCCCACGTAGAGTGCGTTGCAGTAATCTGTTCGGGATGTAACAAGAGCGTGGACCACTGTGGCCAGATCAGACTTCCCAAGGTACGGGCGCAACTGGTGCACAACTTTAAAGTGGTGTGATACCGATAGAATACAAAAAACAATATAAATACACATCAACAATATAAAATCACAATAATTTAAACACAACAAAATAAATCACAATGGGCAGGGATTTATTATATCAATAGATTGTGTGGAGAATTGGGTTGACCAAAAGAGTGCATCCACACTGTAGATTGAATGCAACTTGACACCTCTTTAACCTGCCAGTGTGATGGGATCCTGGAAGTTGTAGTTTTGTGAGGCACTGGCTCTCTTTGGCCGAGAAGACAATGTGTAACACTACAAATTCCCTGATTCCATAACATTGAGCCAGTTAAAGTGGAGTCAAACTGCATAGAATCATAGAATCAAAGAGTTGGAAGAGACCTCATGGGCCATCCAGTCCAACCCCATTCTGCCAAGAAGCAGGAATATTGCATTCAAATCACCCCTGACAGATGGCCATCCAACCTCTGTTTAAAAGCTTCCAAAGAAGGAGCCTCCACCACACTCCGGGGCAGAGAGTTCCACTGCTGAACGGCTCTCACAGTCAGGAAGTTCTTCCTCATGTTCAGATGGAATCTCCTTTCTTGTAGTTTGAAGCCATTGTTTCGCATCCTAGTCTCCAGGGAAGCAGAAAGGAAGCTTGTTCCCTCCTCCCTATGGCTTCCTCTCACATATTTATGCATGGCTATCATATATCCTCTCATCCTTCTGTTCGTCAGGCTAAACATGCCCAGCTCCTTAAGCCGCTCCTCATAGGGCTTGTTCTCCAGAACCTTGATCATTTTAGTCACCCTTCTCTGGACACATTCCAGCTTGTCAATATCTCTCTTGAATTGTGGTGCCCAGAATTGGACACAATATTCCAGGTGTGGTCTAACCAAAGCGGAATAGAGCATGGGGAGCATGACTTCTCTAGATCTAGACACTATGCTCCTCTTGATGCAGGCCAAAATCCCATTGGCTTTTTTTGCCGCCACATGACATTGTTGGCTGCATTCATTGCACAGAATAGATGCGCCCCTCCCTCGATGTTCCAATGGAGTGTTTACCGTTTCTGAATTTTAAGCGGCATGGAAATATCTTTTGATCGAGTGTCTTCTGTTTTGAGTCATGCTTGCCCACATGTCTGACACATTTCGGCATGTTCCCAGGGTTGTTTTGGTTACATGAATTTCAACCGAGAGGAGGCTTTGACCCGTAAACAGGAGCACATTGTGTACTTCAGAAAACATATGCCTCCAAGAAGTTCAAGACATTGGGGCTGTTTCAGAAAACAAGAGAACTTAGAGCGAAAGTATGCACATTTCTGAAAGAAATCCTGATTTCCGCCCCAAATAGTTGCACTCAACAGCTTCATAGTTTGCAGAGCAGAACTCACTTCCTCCGAGCAGCTTCTCTTCTTTTAAATACATTATTTTCTCTGATCGCTGATTGGAATTAAAAGCCATGAAAGCTGGTCGTTGGCTGGAAATGAAAACCCACAGGTCACACCTGGTTTATGAACCAATGTTTCCCCATTATATAGTTAATATTAGCTATCCAAAATCTTCCACGAATAACTCCTAAAACAGTGTGGGATATGGCAATGGTATTCCTGGGAAATCTCACTGTTTCCAGTACTTTCTTGGCTGAGAAGTAATCCTGGGTGTCCTGGTCCAAAATTAAAGAATGTTTCCAAGTAGGAATGTGGATAAGGCCTTCTTGTCTGGCAGAATAGGGTTGGACTGGATGATGCTCAGGATCCTTTCTATCTCTAGACTTCCATATCCCTCTTAGATACAACTGGTGGCATCTCTATCAGACGGGTTATGAATCCCCTTTGGGTTTTAGTCTGAACCTCAAAGGAAAGGTCCAAGGCTCTCAACTCTTTTGGAGGTCCAGCACCTTGGGCAACACCTTGAAGCTCTGCAGTAACACCTGGGACAGATTCACTGCCCCCTTAACATGGGTGGCACTTATCCATAGGTTTTCATTATCCACATCGTTGATTCAGTAACTCACAAGACTAATTGATTGATTTTTTTGTTCCTTTCTTCTTTCCTTCCTTCTTCCCTTGCTCCTTCCCTCTTTCCTTTTCCATTTCATCCTTCCCTCTCTCCCTCTTCCTTTCTTCCCATCTTCCTTCCTTTCTTTCCTTCCTTACTCCTTCCTTCCTGCTCCTTTCATTTCTTCTTTTCTTCCTCCCTTCCTCCTTCCATCTTTTCTCTATCCTTTCCTATTTCTCTATCCTTCCTTCTTTTCTTCCATTACCCATCCTTCCTTCCTTTCTCCTTCTCTCTTTCTCCCTCCCTCTTTCCTTTTCTACTTCATTCCTCCCTCTCTCCTTTCTTCTGTCTTCCTTTCCATCTTCCTTCCTTTTTCACTTCCTCCTTCCTTTTTCATTTCATTCCTCCCTCTCTCTTTCCTTCCATCGTTTCTCTGTCTCCCTCCTTTCCTCATTCTTTTTCCATTTCATATTTCCCTCATCCTTTCCTCTCTCCCTCATCTCTTCCTTCATTCATCCCACCTTCCTTTTCTTCCTCCCTTCCTCCTTCCTTCTTTCCTTTCCTTTTGCATTTCATCCTTCCCTCTCTCCCTCTTCCCTTCCTTTTTCCCTTCCATCTTTCTTCCTTCCTCTTTCCTTTTCCATTTCATTCCTTCCTTTCTTTTGACTTCCATCGTTTCTGCTCCCTCCCTCTTTCCCTTCATTCCTCTTTCCTTTTCCTTTTCATCCTTCCCTCTCTCCCTCTTCCCTTCCTTTTTTCTTTCTATCTTCCTTCTTTCCTATTTCCTTTTCCATTTCATCCTTCCCTATCTCCCTCATCCCTTCCTTTGTTCCTTCCTTTCTTTCTTCCTTCCTTCCTCTTTCTTTTTCCATTTCATTCCTCCCTTTCTTCTGCCTTCCTTCTATTGCTTCCGCTCCCCCCCTCTCCCTTCATTCCTCTTTCCTTTTCCATTTCATCCTTCCCTCTTTCCCTCATCCCTTCCTTCATTCCTTCCAATCTTCCTTTTCTTCCTTCTTTCCTTTCCTTTTCCATTTCATCCTTCCCCCTCTCCCTCTTCCCTTCCTTCTTTCCTTCCTCTTCTTCCCTTTCCTTTTCCATTTCATTCCTCCCTTTCTTTCTTCCTTCTTTGCTTCTGCTCCCTCCCTCTCTCCCTTCATTCCTCTTTCCTTTTCCATTTCATCCTCCTTCCCTCTTCCTCTTTCTTTCTTTCTTTCTTCCTTTCCTTCTCTTCTTCCTCTTTCCTTTTCCTTTCATCCCTCCCTTCCTCTCTCTTCATTCTTTTTCCTTTTCCTTTCTCCTTCCCTTTCCCTTCCTTTCTTTCTTCCTTCCTCTTTCTTTCTTCTTCCTTCCTTCTTTCCTTTCCATTTCCATTTCATCCTTCCCTCTCTCCCTCTTTCTTCCTTCCTTTCCTTCCATCTCCCTTTGATCCTTCCTCTTTTCTTTTCCATTTCATCCCTCCCTCTCACCCTTCTTCTGTCTTTCCTTCCATCTTTCTCCCTCCCTCCCTGCCTCCTTCTCTGATTCTCTTGGCCAGGACTGTGGAGGGCTCCTCTCCGAAGGCGACAACCAGGGCTGCTACCCGCTGGACGGCCACATCCTCTGCAAGTCCTGCAACTCAGCCCGGATCCAGGCTCTGACGGCCAAGGCCAGCACCGACCTCTGAATGCGACGGGGAGCACGGCAGGGTCCTTCTTGCCCTCTTGCACAGCCAGAAATCATTGCGATGCAAAGACCTGGCTGCTTACTTGGAAGCTGAACCCCACCTGACTGTTCCCTGCTGCCTACACTACAGGCTTAAAACCGGTTTGGTAATACTCCTTTCCTCCTCTCAAGGAGCCCTGGGAAATGGACTTGGCTGTTTTGGAGACCATCCTTACCACAGCTGCAAATCTGCATTTCCCAAGGCTCTTTGGAGAGGCACCATGATCTTTAAAGTGGTGTGATACCGATAGAAGTTTACAGTGAAGATAAGTCTTGGGTGGGAGTATCAAATATCCTCCCCCCTGGCTTTAAAAGTTCTAATCTTGACTCTAATTGTGTGCCAATCTACAAGTCCCATCATATTGCTTAAGGTCGATGGGAGTTAGAGCAGGCATGGGCAAACCTTGGCCCTCCAGGGGTTTTGGACTACAACCCCCAGGAAATTTGGATTGGGAGTTGCAGTCCAAAACACCTGGAGAAGGGCCAAAGTTTGCCCATGCCTGATCTAGAGTCTGGAGGGCACCCACTTGGGAATGTGTGGCATTGATAGGGGTGGGCAACTGGCCTTAGTAGAGGCACAACCCCATTGTCTTCCAAGGCTTAACAAATTGGCTCAAAAGGACCCTTAAGGATATATAGTTTTGCAAGACCCTGAGACTTCTCTGCCAGTGAGTGCCCATCTACAACTTCTAGGATTCCATAGCATGGAGCCATAGTAGCAAAAGTGGCATCGAGCTGCATTCCTTCTACAGCAGGCATGGGTAAACTTTGGCCCTCCAGGTGTTTTGGACTTCAACTCCCACAATTCCTAGCAGCCGGTAGGCTGCTAGGAATTGTGGGAGTTGAAGTCCAAAACACCTGGAGGGCTGAAGTTTACCCATGCCTGTTCTACAGCACAAATGCACTCATAGAGTCAGCCTTCAATTCATTTCCTGCTCTTTTTGGAAGACTCCCTGGCCTTCAAATGGTTTGCAGTGGGACAACTGGGTCATATTGCTTCCCATTTCCCTTTATAGGATAACAAGAATTAGTATAATGTTTTAGGTCTCAAAAATGGACACTTGCCCACCCCTGATTGAGAGAATATCCATCCCAGGTGTTACAACCCTTCTGATTCCATCAACTCTTGAACAACAACAACATCGTATTGTCGAAGGCTTTCATGGCCGGAATCACTGGGTTGTTGTAGGTTTTCTCGGGCTATATGGCCATGTTCTAGAGGCATTCTCTCCTGACATTTTCGCCTGCATCTATGGCAAGCATCCTCAGAGGTAGTGAGGTCTGTTGGAACTAGGAAAATGGGTTTATATATCTGTGGAATGACCAGGGTGGGACAAAGGACTCTTGTCTGCTGGAGCTAGGTGTGAATTTTTCAACTGACCACCTTGATTAGCATTTGATGGCCTGGCAGTTGTTTGGTGTGACAGCAAAACAAGAGAGGAAACGCACAATCACCTCTCAACAAAAGATTGCCCCAGGCACTGCCAGGCCATCAAATGCTAATCAAGGTGGTCAGTTGAAACATTCACACCTAGCTCCAGCAGACAAGAGTCCTTTGTCTCACCCTGGTCATTCCACAGATATATAAACCCCTTTCCCTTGTTCCAGCAGACCTCACTACCTCTGAGGATGCTTGCCATAGATGCAGGTGAAACGTCAGGAGAGAATGCCTCTAGACCATGGCCATATAGCCCGAAAAAACCTACAAAAACCCAACAACAACATCGTATTGTTGAAGGCTTTCATGGCCGGAATCACTGGATTGTTGTAGGTTTTTGTCCCACCCTGGTCATTCCACAGATATATAAACCCATTTTCCCAGTTCCAACAGACCTCACTACCTCTGAGGATGCTTGCCATAGATGCAGGCGAAACGTCAGGAGAGAATGCCTCTAGACCATGGCCATATAGCCCGAAAAAACCTACAACAACCCAACAACAACAACTTCCTTCTATGCAATAGTCCTTTTTCCAACCACAGGTGCGTCTCTCTTTAATATTTCACAAGCCATCAAGTCCTGAGCTTGTTTGCACAATAATATTCAGACATACACTTTATATTATCTATTCTTATACCTATAGCTGATAATGTATTTTAATAATATTTTATTTGTGCCTCAAGAATAATGTTGCAAAGCAGGGAGGGGGGCTATCTATAGTTATTGGTATTTACTTGCAAAAATATGTCCTAAGAGAGTGACCGTTTAGTCGTGCTGGGATCCAATGGCTATCATGACATTCTCCAGGTCTTGTTGGAGTGCAACTCCCAGCATTCTTCAGCATTGGATTTGCTGGCTAGGACTAATGGGAACTGTTGCACAAAGCATGTTTTAGCAAAGTCCCATGTATAAAAAACAAAGATATAGTGTATTGTCGAAGGCTTTCATGGCTGGAATCACTAGGTTCTTGTGGGTTTTTTCGGGCTATAGAGCCATGTTCTAGAGACATTTCTCCTGACGTTTCGCCTGCATCTATGGCAAGCATCCTCAGAGGTAGTGAGGTCTGTTGGAATTAGGACAATGGGTTTATATATCTGTGGAATGGCTGGGGTGGGGCAAAGAGCTCTTCCCTGCTGGAGCTAGGTGTGAATGTTTCAACTGATCACGCAATTGAAGCCATTGAAATCCACAAACATGTGGACAATTTCAACAGTAAGGAAGAGACCATGAAAACGAACAAAATCTGGCTACCAGTATTAAAAAAACTCTAAAATTACAACAGCAAAACAGCAGAGAGGAAACAACCAGGCACATCTTAACACCTCTCAACAGGGATTTTCCCAGGCTCAGCCAGGCCTTCAAATGCTAATGAAGGTGATCAGTTGAAACATTCACACCTAGCTCCAGCAGGGAAGAGCTCCTTGCTCCACCCCAGCCATTCCACAGATATATAAACCCATTGTCCTAATTCCAACAGCCTCTGAGGATGCTTGCCATAGATGCAGGCGAAACGTCAGGAGAAATGCCTCTAGAACATGGCCATATAGCCCGAAAAAACCCACAAGAACCTAAAGATATAGTGTATACACAGGAGGAGGAAATTAAAAAACAATTCTTTGATTTTTATAAAAAAATATATCAAGATGAAAGGATTGATCAAGAAAAGATTTACCAATATTTAGGAAAACAGAAAATTCAAAAAATATCAGACGAACAAAGAGAAATTCTAAATAAAGAAAGAAAAACAGCAATAAGAAATTTAAAACCGAATAAAGCCCCAGGTCCTGATGGCCTATCTTCAGGCTATTACGAAACATTCCAACAAGAACTTATGCCTTACTTGAAGGAGATAATGAATAATATTAGAATAAACAAAGAAATTCCCAATTCATGGAAACAAGCAAACATATCAGTAATACACAAAGAAAATTCTAATCCAGAAGAAGTAAAAAATTACAGACCCATCTCGTTGTGAAACGTGGACTATAAAATCTTTAGTAACATCTTAGCGGAAAGACTGAAGAAAGTACTTGTAACATATATAGATGAGGACCAGGCGGGCTTTCTACCCAACAGATATCAAAAAGACAATGTAAGAACAATAATTGATCTAATTGAATATAATGAAATTAATCACCAAAAAAAAAGCCAAGTCCCATGTAAAAGACACATAAACAGGAGGAAAAAGGAACAGGAAAAAAAGTTTTACTCTTATCAGCAGAGGCATGAACTTGCAATGTAGCATACAAAATCAAACAGTGCACAAACTTACATAGTCCTTGTAAGTAACACAGAATAAGTCTTCTTCATCTTCAGTCAATTTTTTTTGTCGTGTCTGGAGTGACTTGATAAACTCCAAGTCGCTTCTGGTGTGAGAGAATTGGCCATCTGCAAGGATGTTGCCAAGGGGATGCCCGGATGTTTTGATGTTTTTATCATCCTTGTAGGAGACTTCTCTCATGTCCCTGTATGAGTAGCTGGAGCTGATAGAGGGAGCTCATCCGCCTCTCCCCAGATTTGAACCTGCGACCTGTCAATCTTCAGTCCTGCCGGCACAGGGGTTTAACCCACTGTGGTACTGGGGGCTCATTCATTCAAATGAGGGAGCAAAACATAAACCATGAGTAAATAGCTATTCCACCATAGCAAAGAGCATCACTGTTGAGCATAGCAGCATCACAGGATATAGCTTCTCCAAACTGTATTCTAAAATCCATACAGTTATACCTCATCAGGTGTGGCCCAAACATGCTGGCTGACCTACATTACCAGCTGTACATAATAATTAACACCATAAGGTTTTTCTTTAACACACACTTGATCCTGCTGCGACTTACTGTAACAGGAACTTTGGCTCATTTTTGCATTAATGCATTTATGTCAGCAAACTATATGAACTCGCTTAAGCGGCTGAGGGCGAAAAGGAAAAGGCCCGAGGCTGTTAGGAATTGTGGGAGTTGGAGTCCAAAACACTTGGAAGGCCCAAGTTGGCCCATGGCAGGTGTAAATGAACCCTGGTTTGCTTGTGCTTTGGAAACTTTGGTGTGTGCAAAACAGGAATTTTATTTCAGAATGTTCTTGCTTTCTTTCCAATGCAAAGTTTGACAGTTTCTTAGATAGGAATTGCTCCTCGAGGTTCCAAAAATGCATCCGCCGGCAACGGATACCAGCCTTTATTTAATTCCAAGCTATGGTTTAGAAACTTGGCAATTAATAATGCCTGCACCTGACCCAGTTTTCACAGTCGGTTTAGCTAGAAAAGAGGAATCTATCTGGATTTAATGGAAAGCGGTTTTCCTCTTAATGCATGCCAGAGCTTTTGAGGAATGGGGATGTCTGTGTGTGCGCGCACGCGAAGCTGTGACATTCCGCTCTCACATCTCAGAGATTACTTTTGCAAGGATTCATCATCCGTCACCATTAACGCGCTCTCCCTCCCGCCCCAAAAAGAAAGACAGCTAATCAGAACCCAAATCCAAATAGGATAAAACCCCACAAAAGTGGGAAATCTCTGAGAAGCGGTGCGATGCTTTCCAAAGCAACGCAGCCAAGCAAAAATGGTCAAACAGATGGGGAATGGCTTAGGATGATGGGATGTGTCATCCAAGCCAAAAGGAATCCCAAGAGAAAGTGCCCAGAAATCTCTGAGAAGTGGTGCAATGCTTTACAAAGCAATGCAGCCAAGCAAAAATGGTCAAACAGATGGGGAATGGCTTAGGATGATGGGATGTATCATCAAAGCAACAGGGAACACAAGAGAAAGTGCCGAGCATCCACAGGGCAGTTGCTGCCAAATCACACGATGGGCTCATGTTCAACTTGTGGTCTCCTAACTACTTCATCACACTAGAGAACGAATCCACTTTAAATCCAGTTGCTGCCTCCTGCAGAATTCTGTGGTTTGTAGTTTCGGGAGAAGCCTTTAACAGCCTCACTAAACTACAAACCCCAGAATTCTGCATTCTCCTCATT